TTTGTATCTAATAACTGCAAAGGAAAGACAGTCCAATAGATATATGTACAAAAACATATGGAAAGGTTGTAATCAGGGCACATTTTTGCATAAAATATCTAAAAAGATTTTTGCATAAATTGGAAAACATAAATGACAGATGGTTCAAGTCAAAAATTCTTAATTCAGCACATTAATATAACTTAATATAGTTATCTTCATGTACTCAATAATAATGTTGCTCTTCACTTATGGGGAATGAGAGGAATCTATTTTTAAAAATACATGTTCAAAGTGTACTTTTTCCATATGCTATTTATCAAAAACCTCAATAGTAGATCAAACAGGAAAAATAGAAGAAACAAAAGTAAAAACAAGTTTAGCAATTTTAGAGTGAACATTCTCAGTATAAATTCATACATAGCTCATTCAGGTTTTAAGCAGGAAGGCATTTTATCTCAATTATGCTGCAAAAAGATGCTTTAACTTTCAATTAAATAACACTACAAATAATTAAAATTAATTGAATCAACTGTTTTTCTCTTTCTGATCAAACAATATCACTGAATTTAAAAACAACGAACATGGAAATAGATATGCATAACATTTAAAGTTTGTTTAAAAAAATTAATTATCTTTTCTAGCACTGTTCTTATAACCCCTAAGATCAGAGATTATGTCTTCTTTAGAAAAGTGTCTATTTAGGTCCATTGCCCATTTATTGATTGGATTGTTTATCTTCCTTTTGTTAAGTTGTGTGAGTTCCCTGTAAATTTTGGAGATTAAACCCTTATTGGAGATAACATTGGCAAATATGTTCTCCCATGCAGTGGGCTTTCATGTTGTTTTGTTGATGGTTTCTTTCACTGTGCAGAAGCTTTTTTATTTTGATGTAGTCCCATTTGTTTACTAGTATTTTCTCCTTAGTTTCCATTGCCCTAGGACAGTTATGGCGAACCTTTTGAGCTCGGCGTGTCAGCATTTTGAAAAACCTTAACTTAACTCTGGTGCTGTGTCACATATAGAAATTTTTTGATATTTGCAACCATAGTAAAACAAAGATTTATATTTTTGATATTTATTTTATATATTTAAAGCCATTTAACAAAGAAAAATCAACCAAAAAAATGAGTTCGCGTGTCACCTCTGACACGCGTGTCATAGGTTCGCCATCACTGCGAACTGTATCACTAAAGATATTGCTACGACTTATATCGTAGCTATTTTGCTGCCTATGGCTTCTTCTAAGATTTTTATGGTTTCCCATCTTACATTTAAGTTTTTTTTGTGTATGGTGTAAGTTGGTGGTCTAATTTCATGTTTTTGCATGTATCTGTCCAATTTTCCCAACACCATTTATTGAAAAGACTGTCTTGACTCCATTGTATGTTCTTGCCTCCTTTGTCAAATATTAATTGAGCATAATGGCTTGGGTCGATCTCTGGGTTCTCTGTTCTGTTCCATTGGTCTAGTTGTCTGTTCTTGTGCCAGCACCAGACAGTTTTGAGAACAGTGGCTTTGTAGTACAAGTTGATATCTGGTATTGTGATCCCTCCAACTTTGTTCTTCTTTCTCAAGATTGCTGCAGCTATTTGGGTTTTTTTTGTTTTGTTTTGTTTTTATTCCAGGTGAATTTTTGGAGAGTTTGTTCTAGGTCTTTGAAGTATGCTGTTGGTATTTTAATGGGGATTGAATTGAATCTATAAATTTCTTTGGGTAGTATGGACATTTTAATGATGTTGATTCTACCAATCCATGAGCACAGTATATTCTTCCATTTGTTTATGTCTTCCTATGTCTCTTTTTTCAGTGTCCTGTAATTTTCTGATTATAGACCCTTTACCTCCTTGATTAGACTTATTACAAGGTATCTTAATTTTTTTTTGTTGCAATGGTAAATGGGATTTTTTTAGTTTCTCTTTCTGTGAGTTCATTATTGGTATATTAAAAAGCCATAGATGTCTAAGTGTTAATTTTGTATCCTGCTACATTGCCGAATTCATTTATTAGTTCTAGTAGCACTGATCATCCAATATTCTGTTATACGCAAAGATGAAGAACTGTGATGAGAAGATCATAATAATATGTATAAGGCTACACCAGAATACAGTCAAAATTTACAATTGCTCTGACAGGACTAGACAAAGAGAACAAACTTTATCTTTGAATAGTGCTTCACACAGGTCTAACTTCTAGTATATAATTGTTTAATACTTTCACTTGATTTAACTGTCTACCTATGGATAAATGGATATATTGTTAGTTGATTTTTAAATTAAAAGAACATGTATGTTAGTTCCAAAAAGCCTTTTTTGTATGTGTGCTCATAAGGGCCTCTAGAATTATCTTTATGTTGCTGTTAACATTTTCATGTCTTTCTTCCACTTTCAGTGGAAACCATTTGCTCTACCTTGATCTTTGCCTTTTTCCATGAAATTTCTGAGCACTCCTAAGTGAGTTCCAGTTTTTTCTTTGCCCGCTAATAAATTTGTGTTCTTTTATTACTCATACTAGAGGTCCAGTGTCCCTCAGCCCAACCTGCACCCTCCCTAATCTGGGACCCCTCTCATAATCCAGGGCTGCAGACTCCCAACCGCTTGCCTGCCTGCCTGCCTGATTGCCCCTAACTGCTTCTGCCTGCCAGCCTGATCACCTCCTAACCACTCCCCTGTCAGCCTGATCGACACCTAACTGTTCCCCTGCTGGCCCAATTGCCCCCAACTGCCCTCCCCTGCTGGCTCGATCGCCCCCAACTGCCATCCCCTGCAGGGCTGGTCCCCCCCAACTGCCCTCCCCTGCAGGCTGGTCCCCCCAACTGCCCTCCCCTGCTGGCCTGGTCACCCCTAACTGCCCTCCCCTGCTGGCCTGATCACCCACAACTGCCCTCCCTTGCAGGCCATCTTGTGGTGGCCATCTTGTGATGACGTGAGGGCGTCACATGGGGGCATGAGGGCCACCTAGGCTTTTATAAGTATAGATTTTTTCCATCACCATTTATGCCCATTAGCATATGGCTAATTAGCATATCCCACTCTTATTGTGTTGGCGTGATGGTCAATTTGCATACTGGTCATGACTAATTAGCATATTCTGTCGTGACTCCGAGGGTGTCACCACCAATTTGCATATTACCCTTTTATTAGTATAGATAAGTCAGGTTACTGGTCAAACTACACTCCACAAGCAAGTGGTTGAAGACAGAGCAGTTGCTACTTCTGTGTTCTGACTCTGAAAACACATAACAAAACCACTCTTAGCTGAGGGTAAGGAGAAAAGCATCCTATTCTCAGGCTTCTCCAGGTTCAAGTAGTAGTCGTCTCCTAATCACAGCAATAAAAATCCATTTGCCTTACCAGTGCTGGTCACCTACCTACAGACTTACTTGGGTAAAAATATTGGGAAGCTCATTCCATGAACAACAAACTTAGCCAAAGAATTTGTAGGTTCATAACCTACTAGAAGAGATTCATGAGCTTCAGCAAAATAAAGCTTCTCAAAGAATGTAAAAGTTCTAAATTTCACTTTAGCCCTAATGGAGAAGCAGGCCTAGTATTCTGCCATTTCCCCTTGAGTCTCCATAGCATCAAAGCATCAAGAAAAATAAGAAACTGAATATTCTCTCTCTCTTGCTCTCTCTCTCTCTCTCTCTCTCTCTCTCTCACACACACACACACACACACACACACACACA